GATTTAGATACAGTTTTCACCACAATTTAAGAAATTTAACGCTAATACTAATAAGCAGATGATCTTAATTTACAAACATAAGATTTCTTCGGACATTTGTCCCCCTTTTTAATATTTTATTGGTATGTGAGTTAAGGAATCATTTTAACATATTTAAATATTTCTGGCAAGTCCTAATCTGGGTTTCTAATAACTCAAGCATTTGTTATTATCTTACCACCCACCCAATTCATGTTATTCCGTAATATAGAAGAAACTGTTGCGCAATCAAAAGCAAACTCGTCTGTGTTTGCAATAAGTTCGCTATTAATTTTTTTTTGCTTTTACGCCTCTACTGCAATATAGGAGTGATCTCGGATGTTAGCAACTTTCACCTTCGAAATCGGAGGCTTTTAAACACTACGTGATATTTTACATTTCAAAATGTTACTCAGAACACCATATAACCGTAATAAGAAATGGAAACCGTACAAAAACAGAGTTGTTTTGTTAAAAACAAATTACTGGCGCCGAAGTGCTAGATTTACCAAAGAAAATTTGGGTCTTAACCGTGACACAACATCGAAATGATTTTGCAACACAGGTTTCCTTTTGAAACATATTGATTTCGGTTCAGAAATCGAACTAATGTGATCAATGAACATTTATGATAAAAGAATTACATACGCACATACTATCAAGATACATGTTAGTTAATTTATTTTATTTGTTAATAGATAAATTTAACTTCCAAGGCAATCTGTTATTACATCAGCGAAATAGCAAATATAGACTGTGCACTATTAAAACAGTCATCTAACAATATAAAAAGTGCACTAACGATAAAAAGATATTTTATTCTAGTTCTTTCTGAATTATGCATGTTATAACATTTTGCAATGCTGTTTACTACCACATTTAAAAACGCCCCAAATTAATTCGCCTAAATTATTAAGATACTTACTAATAAACATCGGACAAAAACAACAAATAAACTAATATTCAATACAATTATCAGCAAAATGAAGATAACGATATGTTCGTTTATGATTTCGATTACTATTGAGCGCCACGCCTCAAAAGTAAGCAAAAACATTTTATTTAAATAATGATAAATAACAAAATCAATAAAAGACGATCAGTGATCCACCTTTTCTAATACAATCTACAATCGTTGCAAACATATTTATAAATGTAGATAGTATAGAAATTATTTCAATTGCCCTAATATGCTTCAATTCGTAAGCCAAAAGTGTTTGACCATTTTGGCTTTTGGGTAGAAGTTTGAGAAGTTGCTGGTAGATACAAAAACTTGGATATTTTTGAAGATTACTTAAACTGTAGAAAGAGAAGTGGGTTTAGATGACTCACGATCAGACTTAACCCGATTTATGCAGAACATATAACGGTTGCGACACTATATCTACAATTTTGTTGCTAGGTAAGCCCAAGAGTATACGGGGCCTGTATAAAAAGAAGACAAACAATTAGTCCTCGAACATAAAACATCAGAGTACTACTTTAATATGTAATCTACTGACGAGTATCTGTTTTAATACGAGGTCTACCCCATACGTATTTGTCGCTAAATTGCCAAACCCTAAGATTTGTCGCTCCAACTGATTGCTGGACGAAGTAGAAATGACTTAGCGAAATACTGCAATGACTATAATTTGTTACTGAAATAGGGTACTATTAGCCATTTTGTCACTAGTCTATCTTTCTGTTGTCCAGCGAAAAACGACTGAAAAGCAGCCAAGTGGGCACTTACATAGCGTATCTCAGAATAGAAAAATATGGGACTATAATTTGTCGATGTAATAGACATACCAATTTTGTTATCAGTATTTTTCTACGATATTTTTAATGAGATACGTACAATTTACAGAGCCAACTTGGCTGGACTCGCGACAGAATGGGTAAAAGTAGTGACCATCTATCAGCGACAAATTATCGCCCTTAGAGTATTTGTCATTGCCAATTTCTACTGCGAGGTACGCTATGTGCAGTACCACCTTGGCGACTCCCGAGTACTTTTTCGCTTTTTCGTAAAAGTAGGCAGGTACTATCTTTCAGCGACAAATTATCGCTCTTACAGTATTTGTCAACGCCATTTCTACTCCGAAGTACCCTAAGTCTAGTGTCACCTTGGAGGCTCTCTAGCTGTTTTATACTGGACAGCTAGAGGATACACTATAGACAAAATGGATAAAGGAGGCAGCTACTATCTTTCAGCGACAAATTATAGTACCTACAGTATTTGTCAATGCCATTTCTACTCCGAAGTACCCTAAGTCTAGTATCACCTTGGAGGCTCTCTAGCTGTTTTATGCTGAACAGCTAGAGGATACACTAGAGACAAAATGGATAAAGGAGGCAGGTACTATCTTTCAGCGACAAATTATAGTACCTACAGTATTTGTCAATGCCATTTCTACTCCGAAGTACGCTGTATGTAGTGGCAGCTTGGCGGTTCTCCGATAGTTTTTCGCTGGACAGCTAGAGGATATACTAGGGACAAAATGGGTAAAAGTACCATCATTCAGCGACAAATTACAGCCCTTAAAAGTATTTTTTAACGCCATTTCTATTCTGAGGTTTGTTATGTGTAATACCACCTTAGAAGCTCTGCAGTCGTTTCTCGCTAGACATCTGGGGGTACATTAGCGACAAGATGGGTAAAAATACCATCTTTTAGCGACAAATTTTCACCCTTACGCCATTTCTATTTCGAGATACACTTGGTATAATATTAGCTTAATATCAGACTAGCATTTCGTCTAGTGCATTTTTTAAACAAGAGATACTCATAGCTCGATCGTCATGCCCAAAACAACTCTCATTTCCTTCGTGTTGTCTTTTACTTCTACGAACAGACCTTGTAATTTCCCATGTATTTTATTTATGTAAATTTAAAATATTGTCCAACGAACGACAGATATAATTATTATAAGTACCTATAAATCAAACCTACATGGACGAAGAGACCTATAGGATGAGGGAACGAGATATTCCCAACAGTAGGTATAAGAAACCTGTTCTGTTCAACATAGTGGGAGTTTCAGTTAACAGCACAAACCTGCCTTTTTTTCGTAAAGAGACGAGCATATATATCAAGGTTTATAATGTTTATTTTATCCATAAGTAATAGAGAACTCCTTATTAATTATGCATAAGCTTTACATCTATTTACATGTATATGTTCCTATTTTCTTTAACTCTGTTTACGGAAATATCTACTCTTTTAAATTAATTATGTAGGTATGTCATTCAGAAGAATGAACTGCATTGTTTTCGTAAGTGCAGTTAGTATTATCAACACCTCGTTTTCTTCAGAAGTAACATCCAATAAAAATATGATATCAGACAATGTTTCAATTACTTTTGGAACTTTTTGAAATATCAAAGTCATTTAAAATAACAAATATATTAGAATAGTAGGTATCTTTATAAAGTCATTTAAAATTGTATAATAAATTAACAACCTAAAACTGTGAGAAATGGGCTAATGATAGAGGTGAGCAACAGATTACATCATAGGTGTATAAACTCACAAGTTATGTAACATTTGAATTTTGTATAGATAGGTACTTCTATTTATGACTATTCAGGATAATTTGTTTTTAAGTTGTCTTTATTAAAGCATGTAAACAATAATTGCTAATTGCCCAAATTATCTTTGAGAAATTATTTTGCTAATGAAACTTTTAATAAAGTTGTAATTTAATAGTTCAATGACTAATTAATAATCTTCTAAATAATTAACAAAAAACAAAAATTATGTTTCCAAGAAAAAAGGAAAATAAGCATTTTTATTACTGGAGCAGTCTGTTAAAAACCACCTGCTGCTGAGTCTCAAATATTGTGTAATCCATTATCAGCGTGGGATACTCATTTATCAGGACAATGACCTCAAGGAACAAGCTGTGATTCATTGTTATTACAAGACAATCCTAATTAATAATTTCGTCCTCGAGCTAATAATTATAAAACAATAAATTTCTATTAAAAATGATGAAGGCATCAACCTGCTCTTTTGGAAACAATCGACTGAAACAAGGATTACTTTAACTGCACAGAAAATACTCCTTGCTTCTTTAATATTCCAATTTAAAATAATTAAATTATTATTTAATTAATCGATTAATGTTTATGTTACGCCACTGTCAATCTGTCACAAAACCACAAAAGACTAGGTTGGGAATTTTTATTCGGTTTTAAAAAAGGAATTATAAGAGCCTTATCGTAGGATCTTATCACACAAAAAGCACTACTACATATATGTAGAATGTTCTTATTGATGAAATAATTTTGAATCATTAGCAGTTTTAATTTGCCACTTCCCTTGGTACATCTGCAATTTTTTACGTAACAAAGGCCATTAAAAAACAATTTAATCGTCTGAGAACTGTGTCTGTATTATTTATCGTAAATATAACAGTAAGAGGATGAGAAAATAGGTCAGGATTTTAAATGAATATAAAAACAAAGAGGAACAGATGACACACCCCTTGGTTAAAGGAGACGGTATGACAGAAAGTGGGGGAATATTTCAAGTTGGAAACTAAAACAAAGATAGAAAAAATGAAAAATACCTTAATTTTTACTAATTCTCCTTTCTGTCGGCTAATATGAATCACTATTCACCACCGTCACTGAACTATGGGCACCGTTAAACAAGTCCTTTAAAAAACTAGAAGCATACGCCCCATCGATTTTTGGCCGAACGAAAATATTATTATCAGCAGTTCGTTATCACAAAAGCACCCGATATTCTCCGTAGACCGCACAAAAGTCTCAAAAATGTTTCGTTAACCGCTATATCGCGTTCGTTCATTCAAATTCAAGACGCGTTACACGTTCAACCATCACTTTCCTCCTGCTTTCCTCTATACTCCGGTGCCCTAAGTCCGACATTGGCAGCGGCGCGCGCACTCGTTTACACCGCGAGTTTTACACGAAATTGAACCTTAAGAAAAACGCCATTAAACACTTTTTTCAATTGCGGATAATGTGGAACACTAGCGCTTCTGTGCCGAAAAAAAGAACAACGAAATCGACGTTTTTGTGTTTTACTGTCAGATGTCAAAAAAGTGCAATTTTTAATGGACGACGTAAGTGTTGCATTAAAAGTAAGTTTTTTTAATATTTTTCCGAATTAAACTCGGGAATTTATTTGCCCTAATTGTACTTTAAGGTTTGCGTGAATGGGTCGAATTAGTAGAAGTAGATCCAGATCTCCCCGAAGACGAGACAGAGAACGGGAACGTGACAGAGACAGAGAACGTCATCATAGAAGGAAAAGATCCAGAGACAGGTCAAGGGATAGATCTAAGGACAGAGAAAGGGACAGGAAGAGGCATTCAAGGGATAGAGATGGACGCAAGAGGTTTTCCCGTTCAAGATCCCCTTCTTACAGTCGTGAGAAAGACAAGAAGTCCAAGGTAGCAGAAGAGAGACCTGCAATAACACCAGCTGATTTGGAGGGCAAAACCCCTGATGAGCAGGAAATGATGAGGATGATGGGTTTTTGTAACTTTGATACCACCAAGGGGAAAAAAGTCGATGGCAACGACGTGGGAGCTGTACATGTTATACTTAAACGAAAATACAGACAGTACATGAACAGAAAAGGAGGATTTAACAGGCCCTTGGACTTTGTGGCTTAACTGGAGCTTCCTTATTAGTGTTTGAAAAAAGTGGACAAGTGATTGTGAATGCTTCACTTTAGGGATAGCAACAAAAGACTGACTGAAACCATCCTCATGCTAGCAACTTCAATTAGGGCATCTTCATAGCTCAAGAACTTTAACAATGTAGTAATTAAACCATGAGCATTAAGAGAAACTGCTAACTATTCTATCCAAAACTTAATTTCACATTTATACATTTATACTAGTAAGAATTACTTGTTTGATTAATTTAAAGCTTACAATCTTCATTTTAAGCCGCAAAGGGTAAGATTTATCTAAAAAAATTTATTTTAATGGTTAAGGTCTTAGTTTTAATCAACTTTATTTTGTAAACAATATGAGAATACTTTTTTAGTTGTAAATTGTGGACAACTTATATATCGTTTTATATTCCATTCATT